TTTTCTTTTTCTTTTTCTTTTCCTTTTCCTTTTCCTTTTCCTTTTTCCTTTTTCTTTTTCCTTTTCCTTTTCCTTCTCTCTCTCTCTCTTTTTTTTTTTTTTTCTTTTTTTTTTTCTTCCTTCTTTTTGCTGCTTCTGGAATTCTGTCCAAATGGGAAGGTGCCATTGTACTGGTGTTTTTTAGGGGCTATACAGATTTTAGAACTTCTCTCAGCAAGGTCTTCCCTTTTCTACTACTACTATGTACTGTGTACTACTGGTACACATAGCTGTTGATCTTTTCTGTTGACTCACACTGTTAGTAAAAATGAAGTATTCAAACATGTTGGCTTTACCCTAGGGAGATCAGTCTTTCTAGAATTCTTCCCAAGGTGGAGAGCAGTGGAAAAACAGTTTTTTTAGAGTTGAATTCAAAATGGGAATTTGAGCACACAACTCAGAGAGCAACCTTTATTTGCTCTAAAACAGTCACTTGCATTTGCCATTCATTATTCATTAGTGATAAATGAGGTTATGGATAACTTCACTGATGTGTCTGTTTTACTATGCACAAAGCTGTCTATCAAAAAATCGTGAGAAGCTTCCTGGTGAATCAAAGGAAATTAGGGAAAAATAAATACAGTAACTGCAAAGGAAAAAGTATAGGTTGAAGTTTATTCTTCTTAGTACTTTTTCAGATGATGCTGAAAGCAAAATAGAATATTGTTTAACCAGCATTGAAAAAAAAATAAAATAAAAGGAATAAAAATCTCGATGTGGAATGGTGAAAAAGCCAACATTTTGTAGAAAGCAACTACTACTACTTCTACAAGTCTACTACTTGTAGAAAGGATAAGAAAAAATCTCAAAAATGATAGAAAATATCAAAGATTGTGAATTAGATAAGGTAATAGCTGAGACTATCATTGCTTTGCAAAGAGACTATTGACAGAGATCATTTTGTGAGTTTTTATGAAATTTTTGTTTTCAGGCAGATCCTTACTGTACTGTATACTTACTGCTGGGAATAAGGTTTGTCAGCTGTCTTTGAAAATCTAAATAAAAGCATGTACCTCAAATTGACATTTTAATATCATGCTACACTTCTGTGAATTCTCATTCTTTTGTATTATTCATTACTGGAAGAAAGGATGAAGAACTGCTCCTGTAAAACCTACAGATAGGCTTAGGATTTTCAGGAGAGATGGCTGTGTTTTACTAGGAGTCTGCACACCTACACTGATACTCTGTGATAGGCTAAACAACATCACTGTGGTTCTGTCATTTTGAAGAGTCTTTTATACATTGTCACCAGGCAAAAAGAATTTTAATAATATTTTAGATTCAGAATAGTCATATATTTTTTTCCTTAGTTTATGTGCAGAAAGCAAACAGGTAGCAAGGAAAATGCTATCTGATACACAGTAATGCTAATTCCCTTCTTCTAACAACTTTATATGCAAGAAAATTCTATAATGTATTTCTGGAATTACTTGCAAGACGCTATAAATCTTTTAAATTATTTTAAATTAAGCTATCTCATTATAAAATAGGCAATAGATTTAATTACTCATTGTAATATAATAAATTGCATAAATGAATGTTTGCACTTTAACTATTTTTTTTTCACTAGTGGTACAAGATACTCATAGCCATCTCATTTGGATTCACTGCATGACTTTAAGAAGCAGCAGTATATTCCATGGAAGTAGCACATGCTACCATTTAGCATGTGAAAAATGTAATTGCATGGGTAAATGCTCTGAAAACTCATGGTTTACTATTAGTACTCCGACTACGGTGTTAAAGATCTACGATACTGTCCATGAACAGCAAAATGGCATTTATTACAAGTGAACTCTAGCTTATATACCCTATGTGCTTCATCTGTGCCCCTAAAGCATGCATCATACATCCATCACAGAGCAGGGGAAGTCCTAACGTCACATCCCGACATCGCCTCGTTAACGCCTACTCCTGGCACGTCACATCCTGATCTCGACGCCAGATGCCTAATACAGTATCTGCAACATCCGGCAATTAGTGTTATCTCTTCTAGGTCAATGTGGTGATGTAGTTATTAGTGAGTGATGATTCTGAAAAAAACAGGTTTGCTAGGCCTTAAATGCAAGGCTAAATAGAGATAAATGAGCATAATACAGAAATACCCTGTCTTCCTGATTGTTTTTTTCCTGTCCTTTTGGACATTTGTGAAACTATTTGAGATTTTCTGCAGAAGAGTTGATGACACAGGTTAAAATGCATCTCAAACAGCCGATACTATCATGAGGAATAGACAGTATGTATTAGTAGTCTTGTCTTAAAGTGTAATTAACACTTCCAGTCCCCTTGATAAGAATGAGTTCTGGGAAGAACATTAATTAAAAACAGCTCAGATGAAATGTAGTTATCAGATACACCTTTCCAGATCTTTAAGCTTCAGCTGGCATCAAATTCCACCTATTCACAATGACCTCCTCCCCCAGATTATTAGACTGATTCTGTTTCTCCTGATGTCCCAAGTTCACTCTTTGTTTCTTTTGTCTTTTGATATATCCTCAGAGCGCAACACAAAGAGTAGTCAGATAGAAAGCACTTTCTGCCCATCAAGCAGGCTTCTTACAAGTAATAAATAGCAACTTTAAATTTAGCATGGTAACAGAAATGAAAAGCTGTAGCCAGAGATGAAAGATGAATCTTAAGGTTTCTTTGCATATCCTCAAATTGGGAGTGAATACTGGACTATAGAGAATATTTTGAACAAAAGTATCTGATTTTAGACAAGCGTGGAATATTTCCACCAGTCTTTTCAGATTCTTGTTGCTGAAAAAAGACGCAATGCCCCACATAGGAAAAGTAGCATCATATGTTGTATGGAAATAGCCAGCATAGGTTTTAATATTCCACTGTCTCCAATGATCCCTGCCTGCCACTGATTTTCTTGGAGTGGGCACTGATAGAGACAGGGTGCAAACAGATCTTTCATGAGCAGAAAGGGGTTAACTTGTGAAGAATGAAATAAACCCAAAGCCTGACATTTTCCAAGTTATTATTCTTAATGAGGCATGCTAGGAAAAGATGTGCCCTGAGGCCTTCCTGGTGTGTAGTGCTGAACTGCATCAGCTAGGCCTGAAATGGATCTTGTGATTCCCAGCTGAACAGTCTGAACAAGGATTTCCTTTGCTATTCTTCCTGTTTCCTGGAATGAACATTTTCAGAAGAAAGAGAAGGAGGAAGTGCAGGAGGAGGAGAAACAAGAGGAGCTAGTTTTGTTTGCTTCACAGATTTGCTGGGAAAATACAGTAAAAGGAAGTCAAAGGACAACAAGACCGTATAGAGATGACATCTTTGGTGCATCAGAAGAACTGGTTTGGAATGTACTTGCTATTGATACAGTATGTAGTGTCCAAAACTTGCTGTGAGTCTTAACAATCATTAGAGGTTGTATATGGTGGTAATAGTGAGAAAGAAGGAAAATCCTTCCACTGCATTTCAGTGCAGATCTCTGTCAGGAAAGAAACATGTTGGAGAATGCTATAAGACACAATGTGTGCACCTGATGCATCAAAAGATCTGGTTTAAATGTGGGGTGTATATGCCAGTAACATCTGCTGATGGAAGTCAGAAAAAACTTCTATTGAACATTTCCTATTCACTGAACTGTAACTGGGAAAATCCCTTAAGCTGTGAAGCATGTGAGAAATACAACATACATAATAGAATCTACAGGACATCTTTAATTAACAACTTAGATTTAGGACTGCTTTTCACTGAGTTGAATTTCCTGTTGTGGTAGGAATCTTCATTAAAAATAGATGAGCTATTTTATTCCCATTAACTGAAGATTTTTTCAAGACTTCACCATGATAAACCTTCTAATTAAAAAACCTTATACTAACTCCCAGTATATATTCAGTCATAGTAATTTCCATGTCAACTTTTGCAAGGGTAAATTTACTCATTATTATGCTTATACTTTCTCTAGGTGTACACTGTGCTGAACCACACCACCTTCTTAGGTATTTGTTAATTAACTCCAAACCAAGTATTTCAACTTTTATGTAATTTGCAAATTTTACAGTGTATTTCTTGGGCAGTGCTGTTCATAAAAACACCTGTTGATATGCACCCAGTATTTCAGTTCAGCACCTTCCATAAGCTATCTCCAGAGGGTCATCCTCACCCCAAGTCTCAAAGTTCTTAAAATAACCAAATAAACATACCCTCTGTTCAACTTCTTCATTTCCCACACAATATTAAAAACTCTGCTTAACAGAAATCCAATAAGCCATTGCACATCTGTGACGCACACACACACACACAGTAAAATAAAATTAAAAAAAAAAAAAAAAAAAAAAACAGCAAAACCCAGCACAATTAGAATGGGAGGATATAGGTAATTCAGGTTTGATCCATGCTTCAGACCCTTCTGTTACTCTTTACCTTTTTTAAATGTATTTTTCTTTTGTTTTGTTATTAAAATTTTCTCTTTCCTTCAAGGTACTTGTAGCCTTCTGCAGAACCAAGAGCAAGCTAATAATCATTAGCTACTTAAAACTTATTCCCAAATCTTTTTGAAATCATAGTTTAACAGGCAGTATGATTGCTTTCACCCGTTACAGGTAATAACTTCCCAACTTGACAGACTTATTAAAAATGCTTGCAACCAGCTATGTAACTTCAAGCCCTAACTTTTCATTATTTTGAGATGAAAATAAAGTCATTTCCTGACTTAATTGCATAAAGTTCTTTGAATTATTTTCTAGTTTAGCTTAGGATTTTCCATTTCCACACTGCCTTTTTGCATCACTGTTCTGAGTTCAACATAATCTGTTAAAAACAATGAGATAGTGTTTGTTGGTTTTGGACCTGTGTCTAATTTATCTTTAATCTTAAACAAATCTTTAATGTAGAAAGTCACTGCCCTTTGGTGGTCACACATTATGTGACTAAAGAAAATGTCACTGTTTATTTTAAATTCTCTTCTGCTGTAACTCAACTCGTCAGTTTTTACTTTGTACTCTTGCTTTTTTTACCTCAACATTCCAGCTCATTTGGTTGCTACAGTACCAATTGGTAAATTGTCATTTAGAGATTTCTTATGGGTTCTGTATGAAGTAATTAAGTTATGACAAGGCAAATTAAAAATTTCACTGGATCCATGATGTCTTGTTTTTAAAAGAGGTATGAAACCAGTTACTATTATTTTCTCTGTTGAATAGTTTATGTTAGGACTAGGCGAGGAATTTGGGAAGCAACGAAGTAAGAACATTCCTATGCAATCTTATCACAGGTAATGGAAGGTCCCCTTATTTAATTCTATTGTTGATATTAAAAAAAAATTGTTGCCTCAGTTTCTAACCTATGCACATTTTCCATTTTTTAGCATCTTCCAGTCAGTTAAGAGTTTTCATATCCCCGTATCTTCAGACTTATTATGATTTGGAAATAACATACCTGTTTAAAGCAAGCTTCCACCAAATTTGGAGGGAACATATTTCTGTGAAAGAAAAGTAAAATTATATGAGAAATAATATGACTCTAATAACATCTTAAGTAGAGGCACAGCCAATTAAATAGTTGACCAGATAATTTTCAAAGGAACCCTAAGATGAATATATATTAATGCATAGTTACATACAACAAGGAGAGCTTTGCATACAGAATTGGCCTGGTTAGCTTTATCAGGACAAAATGCAGTAGGGTTGGACAGATCACCTCAGTTAATATTTTTTGATCCAGTATTGTATAGCAGGTCTTGCAGTGGAGCAGAACATGAGCTAATTTATCACATGAACAAAGCTCTGTGTATTCATACCAACTTTAAAGTTTACATTTATTTATTTTGTCAGAACCTAGATTAATAAAGAAATTATTAATAGTGCATTTCTATTTCTCAAAAACATTTGCAGTCACATAGCCTTGTTAATAATGACTTTCATAACTCAATTTAGTGCCTTATGATTAAAAAATAAATATTTCGGAAGTCGAAGCATTCTTTAATAATAACACAGACACACATAATAGTATATGTGTTTGCATGCTTGCTATATATGGGAGTTTATTTCCTTTTCAAAATGGTGATATTTCTGAGGGGATTAGAGGCAGCATAACTGAGCAAATCTTGAGGAATCTGAGTGCAAACCTCTTCATGGATCTTTCTGAAGTCCCCCTTCCTGGCAGCATGACTCTTGGAGGCCTTTCTCCATGTCTCTGGCTTCTCCAAATGGGTTAGTGGAACACAAAATTTTGATGGCTTTACCTGTGGAAAAGCTCCTGAGTTCAAAACCTCAGTTTCCCTACTCCCTGGAATACATCTATGACATATTAACTCTAGAAAAGAGGTATTGCAGAGTCTCTGAGCAATGAAACAAGATTTTCTATTTGTGCCCCTCTATTTCAAACATTCATTTTGCGTGTTCCTGGAATTTATTTCCCATCCATACAATTTAAAAAGGTTGAGTAGACAAACCCAGATTGGCATTGAAGAATAGCTAAATCAGGGCTCCAAGTGAAATGTGAAAATTCTTGAAGGTTAGAAGTAAAGAAAGCAGAGGAATTTGGTAATAAGGATTCTTGGATATGGAAGGAGAGGAAAAGACCCATGCAGATAGCAGAACAGAAATCTTTATTTTGTATGTCAAAGAATCTTTCTTTCTTTGAGTATTAGAAGCAGCTTCTTCCCTTGAAACAGCCTGACTGAAATATAGAACTATGCATTGTAGCATTGTAAGTGTTAGAGATATCAGTACGGCATAGTTGAAAGAAATGTAGCTAGTTTATATAGTCACTATCTAAGTTTATTCACTATACATCTCCTGTGAATCCAGATATCACTATTGTCATTGGAACAGAAAATATGCAATATCATAGCCATACCTGATTAAATCAAGAAAGGCATCTGCTGCTGTCACTTGCACAATTTTGCCTTCTCTGTGCATGTTTTCTTTTGTACCTTTCCCGGGGTGGATGATGACCACAATGATTATACCAATCAGTACAGCAATGATTGTAGTACTCATGTAGTAGACTACTGCTCGGACTCCCATCTTTCCTGATGCTTTACTGTCCAGGGCAGCAATTCCTAGTAGATTTAAGCACAAGCACATTCACCTCATGAGTAATGACTATATATTCAGCATAACGCAAATAGGTTTGTGGGAAGAGTTTTGTGGACCAGTACAAAGAAAGCTATCCAATGTAAGTTGGCCTTTTTTTGTAGCTCATACTACCAATGTTTTCATTTATCATACCTTGCTTGCTATCACAGTTTCTATCATAAGAGTTACAGTTTTATGTGCTTATCACCTGTTGAAGGCAAATATTATCATTGTGAAGCAGTATGGCACTCCCTTATTCCAATGAGCCGATACTTAAATTTTCATCAGTGTAGTGACCATAATTTGAAAAATGTGCCTTAGAAATGTTCTGCACCTAACATGCAATGATAAGAAATAAAAAAGTACTCAAGGAATGTTGATAATGTTGCTACAACTAATGTGAGTTTTCTCCAATTGTTAGTGAATGACCTGAGTTTACCTCTGTACCAAGCCCTGGGAATTTAAAATAGCTCGAATGCTGTTAGCTTGCTTCAGAAAATCCTCACTATTTTATGAATAAGCAGTTAGAGTCCTTTATAAGCTTTTCAAAACTTTCAACATTAATCCTAATTCTTGGCTTGTCTTAATGTGTCTGATCTATAGTCAATGCTAGAGTGCTCAGTATGGCATCTGTTGAAGTATTTGTTCTCCAGACTGCACCAACAGGGCTGCACTGTGGCTGTTAAACGAATGCGCTCACAACCTCTGAAAAGTGTCTCATGACCATTGTCAGAAAAAAGCTCTTTCTCTTTCCTAATGGGTGCAGGTACTGTTTTTGTCCCTTAAATGTCTCGTGGTGCTTTCTCTTTAAAATTTCAAGTAGTCAGTAACTTTCCCAAACTCCATCTGCATGGTTCCACCACCTGTTCCACAACAGTGCTAATGGTTTTTGGAATAGTGCTTTGATACTGCAGGATGAAGAAAGACATTATGAAAGAATCTTCTTCAATAGACTCCTATAAAGCATTATCGGATTCAAACTTTGCTGACTGTCCACCTGCAGATTTAGGTGCCATTCTTGAACATTTAGAATACAATGTAAGTTACCTATACAAGAGGAGAAAACATTTAAAAAGACAAAAGGACTCTGAATATAAATAGTGCAGAAACATGAAATCAGAATCATGAACTGGCAAAACCAAACATTTTCTCATAGCATCACTAGATATATTATATTACTTCTCTATACCTCTTAAATGAGGAAATATGTGCTACCAGAGTTACAGTGAGATCCCTTCCGAGAGTCAGTGTTTTAAATGAAGTCAAGACTGCATTATAGGCTCTGGTCAAATCTTCAGACTATAAAACTATAAAACACATATTTCATTCCTTTTCATATCAGACAGAGCTTGCCATGTAATAGCAGAAGCCATTACGCCCAGTAAGATTCATACTGACAAAATGATTTGCACCCATAATTGCTTGATTTATATCTCCCATTATCAATTTAGTAGAAGACTGAAATGTACAAACACAGTAAGAAACTGATAACAGAAATTCAGCTTCTGAAGTCCTCAGTCCTTTATTTCTCTGCTCAGCTTCCCTGTCAGCAAAAGTGGATGATAGTATTTGTGGCAACTTTACATTTGTAAGTTTTGAAATTTGGTGAGGAAAATGGCAAGTGCTGCCAAGAGATAGTCCTCTTATTTTGGTGAACAGGAAATAAATTCTATAGCTAGGCTTACTGATGGGTCAGTAAGATCAAGTGGTGAACCATGTGAACCTGATATGTCAGGGAGCAAGAGTTATGCTCTTTCCTTTGTAAGCTGCTTTCCATCTTGGCTTCCTACTGTGCACTCTGGCTGTGACTACATGGCCCCTTATTTTAGGTTACTTAGTCTCATTTCTGCTGTTGCTTATCATATGAATGACTTAGCCTGAAAGTAGGGGACAGTAATTCCTCTCTTCTTAGGCTCTAACTGCTGATGGTGTGTATAGCAGGAAGCATTCACAGCAGAGGGATGGCAGGCACACGTGTGAAGAAAAGCTATATGAGGAGGAAGCAAGCACATGTCTCAGAGAACCCTTACTGTGTGCTGCTGGGCAGCTTTCCCTCAGGCTGGAGTTAATGGGAACCTGAAGAGGAACACCCAGTACCTGCCAGGGCTAAAGCTTCAAAAGCTTCCAGGACACCAACATCTAAAAAAATATTGAAAATCTGTTTTGGAACATGAGAAAATGAAGGTTTTTGTTTTCTTTATATTTTAAGATGTTGACAAGATTTCTTAGAGCTGAATGGGTCTCTGGAAGTGTTCTTAATGGAGAAGCAATAAAGTTTGCTCCAAAGCTTTCATGTGTCACAGACCATTGTACCCTCAGTGTGTCCTTTCATAGCCAGCCAGAAAAACTCCCATTGTGTCACTGGAGATGTATGCGCCCCTTTCATCCTGCTGCCGCTCCCCTCCCCATGGCTGCTGGCTCCTGCACCCTGCAACCTCCTCTCTTTCCTCCTTCCCCTTCCCCAAGGGGCCTGGGAAACTCCGCTGGGCTGCTGGTCCCCACGCACAGGGATGCCTTGAAGTTGTCAGGGCAACCTCAAGCACTGTGCCCGTAATTCCTCCTAGCGTGCGCACGCCCAGAGTGTGAATAGGAACAATTTTTTAAGTGTTGGTGGAGATGAAGGGTGAGCAAGAAAGAAGGGGGCTGGAGTATGTCTACAGAACTGCAAACAAACCCAAACCCCTGCCTGTCCTGTCTCTTCACTCACTTTTTTCCCCTCTTGAGAAATAAGGTGCAAATCAGTCACACTGTGAGTGAAATAAAAATGTTGCAGAGTTCTCCGGAGTGTCAGGACAAAAAGCAAAGCACTGTGCTAATAACAAAGGTATTAGGGGATGTAGGAAACGCAATGAAAGCAAGTAAGTGGGGTAACTTCAAAAGAAGGAAAAAGAGAGAAACAGTGGAGGAAAAAGGAAGAAAAATCTAGTTAGGACAATTTGTTAAATTTAAGTTGTTAATCTGACTGCTCTGATTGTTTGCCTGACTTAATTGTGGTTCTCCAAATTAGCATGAGCTGATCATGTAGCAATTTTCTTGAATAGCTACTCTACTAGTACTACTTTTCTTTCAATTCAATATTCATTATACTTGTGAGTTTAAATTAAAAAGAGTTCTAAAATTTATGGATCTGGAGGTACTTCAATTGATATCAATTTTCTCTACATTGCACTACATTGCAAGCAAACTGTTTGTAGTCTATCTGTACTCTTGTAATTTACTAGGGCACACTAACACAATCAAAATACTGTACCCCTCAGGAAAATCAAAGATAAAACATGCTGATCATAGTCTCTATAGATAATATTTAAATCAGTTACTTTGGAGCTGCTTACTGAAAAGAATTCCAAGAAATTGTTCTACAAGCCAAAAATCAGAGCCTGTGCTAAGAAGTCCAACTTCAGAGCACTTCCTCCCTGTAACTGGTGCAACCCTAACCCTAATCCTAGCCCTAACTCTAACCCTAAAATCATAAGTTTGTGCTATGTAACTCTGAGAATTGAGTTTAAGCCCATACCTACTTTTCCTGTTACAGTACTTTAGAGTTTCTACCTGGTTTGTTTTGTTGTTGCTGTTTGTTGGTTACTTGGTGCCGGTTTTTATTGTTGTTTTGGGTTTGGTTTTGTCTGTCTTGTTTAATAAAGAGTATTTATATTCACCTCAATGATAACTGGTCAGCAGCTCGTATGACTGAGGTCTTATTTCTGCACATAAATCCCCAGTCAGCAAAGTATACTTGAATTTAAATTTGTCCCTAATGTTAATTACTATATTTGTTGAAACAAAGCCCCAGTTAACAGTTTCAAATGGGATATTTTTATTTTTACGCATACTGATCCCAAGATGTTCCAAGAGTAAGAAGTGCACCACTGAAGAACTGGGCAGCTAACAAGACCCATTTTGCTTCTCTTAAAAAAACAGTCACTGCATAGGAGTGGCCCTAAAGCCTTCAGTGATTTTATCATTTGTCAGATGTACACTTGTATGCATATGTATATCCTTAGTATGAAAAAAATAAAATGAACAGCTACTACTTTTCATACAAAAAGTCTCTATTTCTGAAAGCCTTTTGTTGTCCTTTAGAACTTTTGGAAAAAATAGATTTTGTGTATTTGCTTTCCTACATCATAATTCTTGTGTTTTGTATAATAGAATCTATCATGTTGCCCAGAATAGATTTAAGTTTTGGTCACTTTAAAAATATTTGTCACTCAGAATGATAAAGATTTTAAACATAAAATAATCAACTCTGAATGGACGTGTACAGGCAACTGTACTGCCTGATCCTCATAAATATTCACCAAGGCAAATAAAAAAGGGAGATTTCTAAGATTGTTTCAATTTTTTTTCTTAATATCAATTATTGGAACTGAATTAATAGCACTTTCTTGCTAATGTAGATTTTTATATAAATATCCCTTGCATGTTTCAAACTGAGTTTTTAAATACAGAACATTATGAACAGAACATCTTTTCACTGTTAATTATTTTCCTGTTTATTTTTTAGAGTCTCTTCATTAGGAAATTGCAGTTGCTTATTAAAGACTCTTATGGTGGAACAGCAATAATGGCAACTGTTGATTCAGGAGTGTTGCCCTAATTTTGTTTCTTTTAGGTTGCCTTTCACTCTCCTAATGAAGCAGTCTTAAAAGGACTACTCCCGACCCCCTACATCTACTAAGCACTATGTGATGAGTAAACTCTCAGTGTGAGACCATGAGAACAATCCCTTTTGTGTATGTTGATGAGGATTTGTGGAAATGAATAAGGCTGTGTAAGCTCATGGTGAAATATTCTAACAGAAAAATTCTAAGAAAAAGGAAGAGCATTAGTTAGGTAAAGACAGCGGGAGTATTGCCTGACTTTAATTAACACGATTAAGTTTGAAGCTTTATTCTGATAACTGCCAAGCGTTCCCAGGAAAGGAAAATCAATATTTGACACCTGAGTCCTGTGCAAGATCAGGCCCCACATTAGTCCAAGCTCC